TGTCTACAATCTTTAGATTCTAAACTTTGAGCCCATGAATGAAATGCCTTTGTGAGTAACAATTCAGTACTATATGCATGTCAACCAAACTGATTATCTGATAATAAATTATTGAACTCTAAGAAATTACTTATTCGTTTACATAAAAGTTTTTCCATAATCTTACAAACAATTGGTGTTAAAGACACGGGCCTATAGCTCTTTATCTCTTTGGTTTTCCATGTTTTTTAAAAACTGGTACAACATTAGCTGTTTTCCATTGTTTTGGTAAAACACCTTTATCTTAAAGATAAATTTAAAAAGTTACACAATACTCTTGCCAGTTCTTCCTTACATACTTTTAGGAATATGGGAAGTAAATTATCAGGTCCTGGATACTTTGAAACAATTAGATAGTTTAATGCCTGATAAACCTCCATCACATTAAATTTTTCAAATTCCATATGGTATTGTGAGACAATATAGAGTTGTAAAGTAAGTCATTATCATCATCATCATTACAAAAATTACTAGAAAATGGATCGTTAAATAGGTTTGCTAACTCTTTTGCATCTGTTACAACACCATAATTTATTTTAAAACTAATAACTTCTGAATCTTGTTTAATTGCCCTAATGTATGCCCAAAATTGTTTCATATTTGTAGACGCCTTATTTGAGATATCTAAAACATAATTTCTATGACTACAGTATATGGCTTTTTTCAAACTTCTGCTACAACTTTTAAATTTTTCTGCCTTCTTATATAATTTTCTTTTCTTTGTACAAAGTTTCTTAATTTCTGTAGTAATCCATGTAAATTATTTGGTCTTACTTCTTTTCTTAATAGGCACTGATTCAGAAATTGCCTTATTTATATAACTGATAATACTTTCCCAAATGTTACTAATGTTTTCAAACAGAAAACAATTTTCCCAATTAAAATTATTCAACATAATTTTCATCTTTTCAAAATCTGCATTTTTTAGGGCATATACAGATTTAGTTATAATATTTTCACTTTGTTTTGATATTTTCATATATATCTCAATTGCCTCATGATCACAAGAGTCAAAATTGTTGATAATTTGACATTTATCAATTAAAAGTGGATTACTAACAAAGGCCAAGTCTAAAAAGTGACCATCCCCATACGTGTTACATAAGAAGGCTGATTTATTACCTGCACTAATCCACTTATCGAACGGTTCGTCATCAATGTTACTCCACTTGGTGTATACCAATCTTGTCAAAGTTAGAGCCCTTAGTAACAACCTGTGAACTTGTCTTGTCTCTGTAATAAAAGTTATTTCATATTGGATTTCAATCCATAGCGTGCACCTGATTTCTTTTATTTTCATGTGCTTAATTAGAACAGTAATGATAACTCAAAATAATGGTTCCTTACCCATTTTAGGAGATTTTGGTGCCGAATGTGTCCTCTTATCAACGGTGATTCCTACTGCATCTTAAAGTGTTGGTTATAGTTACCATTATACACAGGCCTTTACTGGATAATATAAACGTCAACGATGCATAAGAGGCATTTAAAAAAATGTTTCTGTTAAGCCAATGTATTATCTTTTGGTTTTATGTTACATCTACGATCTATAGATAACATAATACGCACACGTGCTGCATGTGTAAACTAGTGATGTCAATAAAAGGTATTGTTGGCCTAGTGTAGGCCTATAGGCCTATTCTCTGATATTACAAATTTGAAATTAAATGTGAATACCTTAAGATAATGGCAACAGTTGTGGGGTGAGATAACTCAATATAATTGAGTCAATTTCAATTCATAAAATATCATATTTTACAATGCGTCATTATTGGAAGTCGAAATACAGCTTGGAAGACAAGAAGTTTAAATTCAATTCAAATTAGAATTTAGAATGAATAGAATACTTGCGAAATTCTACTCAAAATGTCTCTAAATTAGAAATTCAGAGACACATAGACTGAAAAAAAAAATACAGCCTCATATCGTAATCTTTACTTTCAAATGAATACATTTAAAACAGGGAATGTTAAAAAAAAAAAAACTCAATAAAATCTATTGTAAATGATACAGGCCTATGTAATTAACAACTTACGAGCTAATCGAATTAAAAGGCTCAATAATTATAAGTAAAGTATACTAAACACTTAAATAACACGACTTGTAATGGAGGGCGGCAGACTGTTAATTCCATTATTGCTACAGTATATAGAAATTCTAATTTCCATGATTTCCGCCGTCAGAGCCGTTCTACGGCTCTGATTTCCACTTTCCATTTAAAACTTTAATAGCTTACTCGATATCAAAAGTGACAGAGTCGTTAATGGCATTCCACGTAGTATTATTAGAAAATGATACACGTTGAGCATCAGTGAAGATTCCCACTTTATTAGTAGACCTACAGCCATGAAATGTAACAATCGCTATATATATTCGTAATACCTTAATTGAATGGACAAATGTAATTATGTCTGATTTCCTACATGAACTGCACTATACTCTTTTTTAAAATTGCTTTACTATTTTAGGTTAAAAGCAAGGTGATTCCCAATCCCAGAAAGAGATTTTCTTCTGTAATTCTATTTGCATTTATTTACTCCGGGGGAGTAAGTCAATCAAATTATGAACCATCTTTACATGAATGTACTGTAATTACAATTCTTTAATTAGTGTCATATTTAAAATAAAAGCGACCTGCTGGATTTAGATTAGTAGAGGGGTATCGGGTGAATGTTAAATACATCCAATGGCTCCTACACTCAGATAGGACCCTACCTGCAGACCCTCAGGTTTTGCATTATTTTCACACACATAATTTAAAATTATGGCATATATAAAATTTAAGCTAATTTGCAAATGAACGCGGTGACAAAATTTATTCGATTCAGCTTGTGATTTCTCTAGATTCGAACACACTGAACATAGCATGAGTTACATTTTGTAAAATTCTTTTACTTTTTTCTAAAATTTGCTTTTTGTCACAAAAACAGGATTGGGCTTAAGCTACGTAATTGATTCACACAAAACAATTAAAAAGGGGGAAAAAAAAAAAAGAGAGAGAAAAACAACTCTCAATCACTGCTATATGAAAATTCTCAGATTCAAGACTTACTTGCATAGGTGCCGTAATTAAAATAGTTTGCCTATAAACGGGGTGTGCTAAATTGGTGACCAAGTTGAGGGTTGTCTCCTGAATCTGCCCTGCATGTCACCACTCACTAATTTGCATATTTAAGCTAATTTGCAAATGAAAAAAGAAAAAAACAAAAAAATAGGCCTAGTGACTATTTCGATTTCGGTTGCTTAAATCTAATTGGTGATACTCCAACAAAAAAAAAACTAATAATAATAGGGCCTAATCATAAAATTCCAACGAAAAACTGAAGGCTAAAAGAATGATCCCAGACATCTTGGTGATTGCTCATGCAGAACGAAAACTTCTTTGAAGTTGGAATGTCAACATTCATTGAACAAGTTGTCTTCTCAGCATGATTGTGAAGCGAACTCAGTTCACAGTACGAATGTCTCAACAGGTTGGTTATTCAAATTCATATACTTCAGTATACTAAAGAACTCCACGTTTTTGATTAAATTATGGTTTTGTTTTTGCAGAATATTTAAAAATCGTCCTATAGTAGTAGTATGTAGTCATAGGCTAGGCTACTACTTTGGCTAGGCTAGGCCCTAGGCCTACTGCTGTACATACAGGGAGCCTAAAATAGGGCCTGGCTAGGCCTACGCACTAAACTAGGCAGGCTAGGCTGGGTAGGCCGCTGTGCCTGTTTGAGCTGACTAATCCTAACATGGCTAATTAATAGTCCCTACACGGCCCCACAAATTTGTTGTTTCTCCTTCTAGATAGAAGAAGTAGGTACTAGGCCTAGACCTAGCCTATAGGGCCAGGCCTAGTAGTAGTAGCATTTCTTTAATTTAAGCTGTTGTGTTGTAGCACCTTGGCAACAATATTCAAGGGGCCTGGCTTAGCGGAACATTATATTTTGTGTTTTAATTGAAGTTTTCAGAATACAGTAGGCTTATATATCTACAGTTCAGTTGAGTACTGTAACCTAAAAATTGGTGTGGGCAGAGATGCTGGAAGCAGTAATGGTGCCGGCAGCAACGATGGCACCGGCAGCATAGGCAGCGATGACAGCAGAGTAAGAATAGCAATGGAAAACCAAATCCGCCAAAAATATGTAGCCAATTCCCATTCAAGCTAAACCCAAACCTTCAATACAAAGTCGAATGTAAGGAAGCAAATTCATACAAAACCAAATCATAAATCAAAAACCAAACCATTCGTTCAAAAACGAATTCATCCACTATAAAGCCAAATCATTCATCCCATACCCCAAGCGTATGTTGTCCAAATCATTTAATTCAAACACAAATCATGTGCAATGGAACACAAAATTATCCAAACAGAAACCAAATCATTTGAGTAAAAGCTAAACCACTCAGTCTAAACTCAAAACATACGCATGATTCGAACATACATTTTTAACCAATCTGATAAAAGGCCATGCCATTAAATCAAAACTTTAGCAGTCGTACATAGAATGAAATGATCCACTGGAACTCATATAAACCACAGTGAAGTAAACCGATCCAATGTAAACTCGAACAAACCAAGGTAGATGCAGACCGTTAATCATTCGTTGTAAAGTGAAGTCATTTGTTCTAATCCCAAACAAGAAGATGACGTCATTACTATTGGTGTAGTGTGAAGATTTCAAAAACAACTTGACCCTGTAATTTTTTTTATCCCAGATGATTTTTATTGAGCATTTTGATAATTTTAACTTGGTGTAAAACTTTGCTCTTGGAAGGCACAATGCCTTATATAAAGCCTAATTGTTATAATAATTATTATTATTGTTCTCTTTATTTACAGCTTCTCTCAAAGGCAAAGAGGCGACTTAAAGTTAATGGAGTATATCAACTTTTCAGATTTAGAAATCGGTGAGTATTAATGCGGTTTTCCACTATAAGGTGAATTTATTTGTGTGACACAAAGTCTTTCTGTGAAGAAAGTAATTATTTTCCACTACACTAGTAGTACTGTAGTTGGAAAATTATATTTCAACTGTAAACGACAAGGTGTTCATTTTTGTATATCGTCATCAAACCAGCTCAATATACGCTTGCCTTTACATGTTCAACTCAAATAAAATCTCAGTTCCTGAGCACCTTATATAGTATAACGTCAGTACCATCTCGGTTCCTGAACCGAGTCCAGCAACCAATGTGGTATATTATACCACGTTGGTTGCTAACACTTTCATCACAAGACCATTGGGTATGTCCTGCTCCCCATACAGTCAACAACTGAAAATGTAAAACCCCACTGGGCTCAATACAGTACCATGCAACTATAACCTGTTAATAAATGTCATTTCACACACTATCATTCTTAATTTGAATTCAGGTATTAGTACAATTTCAAGTTACTTAATCTCTACTCTCACTGTAAAATATATTTTAAACAAAATAACACCAAGCTTCCATTTGCTATTTCTGGCTCTTCAGTCCTCATACCTTGAACAAGCTTTGCCTCTGCTCTTTGTACCATTCCACTGCCTAACCCACTCCTTTCTTTTGGTTAACACATTAACATGGTCACACTTCAGTAGCATGGACTTATAACAGAGTGCCATTTACTGTGAGCTAATTTGATAACTTTAACTCATTATTATTGATTAGCAATTTAGCTACAACTGGATACAGTGCACAATCAACTTTTATACATATTCATTGTTTACCAGTCAAAGCCTGGTTTCCTGTCGACGGGTGAAGGCAGATTTATTGAATTTTCATGTGATACGTCGATTTTTCACTATTTGACAGGAAACCGTGATTTAATGACTTTTTGTTGAATGATCTCGCATACGTTGCTTTGCAAACGATTCTTATGAAAAGTTGACTCCAAGTCAACTTTTCATAAGAAACATAAACGGAAACGTATGCTGTCTGTATATCTTGCCTATACAACAATATTGTCGACGAACTGGAACTCTCATTTATACTTATGTATTGATAATAAAATGTTTAAAAAGAAGCATATCCTCTTTTTTTTTCAAACACAATGATAGGCATGTAAAATCTTATAGATTTTGTTAGCCCTATACACAGTGGTGGCTCTAGGATATAA